AGGCAACTCCCTCCAGAACCACAACTATTAAATACATTGCTAAACATATAAAGATACCTCCATCTACAGGCTGAATCTCCATTAAAAGCGCACGACAGAGAGGAATGGAAAAACAAACGCTCATAGGGGACTCACACTAAAATAATATACAGGGGGTCCGAGATAAAATAATTGTACACCCAAATAACTATTGAATGTGGGTGGTAATCGAAAAATCTTTCAAATAGAAGTTGTAGGGCTCCAAGTGGGAAAAATAATGAGATATGTTTTGAGCATTTAAGTCTTCATGTTTTTATGCTACAAGCATACGTTCATTTTTTTCATATGGGATCAAAAATTTTCTTGTAACAAAAGTTGTTGTACTCGATGAGATGAATCTAATGATGTCGCACATAATATGTTTTTTATGGTTTCTGAGCTCAAAAATACCAGAAATAGAACTTGTCAACGATATTCCAAATTCAGACACGATAAACAGAAACTGGCCTTTAAATAAGTAAAGAAACAGTAAACACCAAAGTGTAAATACCAGAGCTATCTGGTGTTTATTGTTTCTTAGTTAGTACGAATCGGGTCATTATTGAGTTCAGATGATTTTTGAGTGATTTCACGTATCATGGTTTATTCCGCAAATGAAGTTGTGGATATTCTACTGGTTTTGGGAGAATGCCGAGGTGCAAATCGCGCGGCCGCTCGATTGTATCGACAACGGTACCGAAACCGATTACGTCATCCCTCAGCTTCATGCATTCGGATTATCGAGAGAAATTATCGAAGAGGAAGAGTTCTGCAACGACGACAACGACAACAACCGATGAATCCTGACAATCCTCGTACGCTTACCTTTTTGGCCATGGTTCACATGAACCCGCACATCTCTTTAAGAGAAATTGAGAGAGATTCAGGTATTCCACGAAGCACAGCTCACGATATTTCGAAATCGAACCGTTACCATCCATATCATATCAGATTGACACAAGCACTGTCTGCACAAGATAGACAGAATCGTGTAGCTTTTTGACACTGGGACATAGGGATCTGGAAGGAAACCTGGACCACCAGCATCAGTGGAGTGTAAATGTGTGGTGTGGCATTGTTGATGGGCAAGTGATTGGGCCGTATTTTTTCAACGGAACAGTCACCGGTCAATGCTATTTACAGTTTTTACAAGATGACCTCCCAGTTTTATTGGAACATGTACACTTGGACACAAGACCAAGAATGTGGTTCCGACAAGACGGTGCGCCACCGCATTTTGCACTTTGTGTAAGGAATTATCTCAATGTTCTCTTTCCTCGTCGTTGGATCGGCAGAGGTGGTCCTGTTCTTTAGCC